ACCTGTACTCTCTTTGACTGCTGTATTGTAAGCAAAAGTTACGTTAGGGAGTATATCATCCCAGTTCTTGTGATCAACGGCCACATACATTGACAGCATATCTGTAATGGTCTTGTTCAACCGTTCAGTGAGTCCATTTGTTTGGGGGTGATGACCTATAGTTTTCCGATGTTCTGTACCACTTAGTCTCAGCACTTCTTTAAGCATCTCTGTGGTGAAAGCTGTACCACGATCAGTAATTATCAAAGCTGGCGCTCCGTGACGGAGTACAATGCTGGTGACAAAAAAACTGTGCGATTTCGGCTGCGGTAGATTTGGGCAGGGCTTTTGTTTCGCTGCAACGCGTTAAATAAACGGTGGCAACCACAGTCCACCGGTTTCCAGACGAAGAGGTGGGAAATGAGCCGAGCAAGTCAATGCCAATTTGATGAAATGGTGTCTTCGGCGTGGCGATGGGCTGTGGTCGTCCTGCTGGTCGAACAGGTGGAGTCTTACGGCGTTGGCAGTCGCGGCATGTGCGGACGTACTGCTTGACTGTCTTCGCGAGGCGGGGCCAGTAGTATGAGCGGCGAATTCTTTCCAATGTGCGCATGTAGCCAAGGTGTCTGGATGATGGTTTGTCGTGACAAGCATGTAAAATATCGTCCCGAAGCGAGGTCGACGCAACCAGTAGGTAAGTAGCCTGGGTATGGTCGAAATTGTTCTTATAGAGGACTCCATCCCTGATGCAGAACGAGGCCAGCGAACGTGCGAAGTTTCGACGAAGGCTGCGTTTTCGGCCTTCAAGGTAGTCAATCAGCGGGCTTAGCTTCATGTCGTCGCGTTGTTGTTGAGCCAAGTCAGTTGCTGACACAGAGAAAAGGAATGTATCGTCCTCTTCAACGTCCGCGTTCGTACTTCCAATTGGTGCACGTGAGAGACAGTCAGCATCAGTGTGTTTGCGTCCTGACTTGTGAATGACTTTAACGTCAAATTCTTGCAGCCGAAGGCTCCAGCGTGCTAGACGACCAGAAGGGCCTTTGAGGTTGGCGAGCCAGCATAAAGAATGGCGGTCGCTAACTACTCGGAATGGTCGACCGTATAAATAAGAGCGAAACTTTGTTATAGCCCAAACAACGGCTAAGCATTTTTTTCTGTTGCAGAGCAGTTTTTCTCTGCAGATGATAGTGTTCGACTTGCATAGGCAATCACGTGCTCTACGCCATTTTTCCATTGAACCAGTACAGCTCCAAGTCCGACGTTGCTGGCAACCGTGTGTAGCTCTGTCGCAGCGTTATCGTCAAAGTGACCAAGTACAGGTGGAGCTTGGAGATAGTTTCGTAGCGTGTCAAAGGCGTGATGCTGAAAGGCGTGATGCAAAGTGGCATTATTCAGGTTTGAGAGAATGTCCAGCTGTTCGAATCGCCTGAAGAACTACCTGTAAGCGCTGGACGTGCTGCTCAAACGTGTCCGAGAAGACGACCACTTCATCAAAGTAGACAAGACACGATTGCCATTTTAGCCCAGAATGAACCGTGTCCATCATTCTTTGAAAAATAGCTGGTGCCGAGCATAAGCCGAATGGAAGGACCTTGAACTCGTAGATTCCGTCAGGAGAATTGAAGGCGGTCTTTTCCCGGTCGCGCTCATCAACAGATATTTGCCAATAGCCGCTGCGTAGACCCATGGAAGAAAAGTAACGAGCATTGCGAATGCGGTCCAGCGAGTCGTCTATTCGTAGTAAAAGATACACGTCTTTCTTCGTGATCTTATTCAACTTTCGGTAGTCGACGCAAAATCGCAGAGTACCATCTTTTTCTTTACTAACACAACAGGGGACGCCCAGGGACTGGTCGATGGCTGGACGACATCGTCCTTGAGCATCTGCTGGATCTGTTGGCGTATAACGTCTTGTTCTTTTTGCGAGAGTCTGTAGGCATGCTGTCGAATGGGTCTCTCGGTAGGGTCGGTGATGATACGATGATTGGCAAGCGGTGTTTGGTTAACTTTCGAAGTCGTAGTGAAGCAGTCCCGAAATGAGCAGAGTAGCTTCAAAAGATATTCCCGTTGTGCAGACGGTAGGATCTGGTTTACGTCGAGAGTGCTTGCAAATGTCATGGCGCAATCGTCGCACGACGAAAGAGCAGATAATGTTGAGGGACCAGGGACGTCAGCAATCGGTATGCGATCGCAGTGTGTTTGGTAAGATGGCGATACTCCTCGCTGAAATTCGTGACTAATAGGCAAGCCTGCTTTCTACTGGGCTGAACAATACCTCGGGCAACGCAGATTTGTTGTGAAAAAAGTAGGGACAAGTTTCCTTCTGCAATTACAGCATCGGGGACGTCTTGGTCACATTCAACGTTGATAAAAAGGCTGCTGCGGGTAGGCAGAGTAACAAATTCGGAGGATACACGTCGGGCAGCCTTCGATGAGCGGGAGTTTTCCGGTTCAGGTTGAAACGGGTTCTTGAACGACACCTGCAAGTCTCGTAGGTCAATAATTGCGCCGTGTTCGCGAAGAAAGTCCAGCCCTAGAATGAGTGGACGGGAGCACACAGGTAATACGAGGAAAGACCCTGTGAGCGTCGAAGCACGGACTCGAACACAGGCTGTGCACATTCCAGTTGGCGTGACGAGTTGGCCCCCGGCCGTGCGCAACGGCGGTCCTTGCCAAGGGGTAGTTACCTTTCTCAGTTGGGATGCTAGGGCGCTGCTCATAACCGAATAATCGGCGCCGTTGCCGACGAGGGCAGTGACGACGTGATTATCGACGTGTACGGTGATATCGGCGGAAACAGTCTTATCACTTTCGGAAACGACTGGAAAGTCAGAACGGTCTTCGTCGGGTCTTTGCGTCGAAGGAGGCTGTTAGACAGTTCGTTGGGACGCGGCTTCACCCCCAGGAGCCGCGGTTTCTAGTTTCCCCTGTGGGGACTCGGTGACCAGGCTCTGAAAGGAGCATAAGATGACGAGGGAATGCTTGGTGACGTGGGGCGGCGAGGTGATGGTGATCGTGATTTGGGGCGTTGACAAGGCGACGAGCTTGCTGGCCCGTAAGGTACGCTTCGATGTCGCGGGGACGCTCACCGTAACGCGGGCACCGAGCATCAGGGGGAAAGCTGCGGAGACCAAGTTGGCGGTACTGGCATTTACGGTAGACGTGACCCGCTTCGCCACAGTGGTAGCAGAGTGGACGGTTATCGGATGTACGCCACACGCTAGCCTTTGTGGCGTTCTGCCGCGATCCAGACGACCGATAAGTTGGTGCACTCGGAAACCTTGAGGCGGGTGGTGGAGTCGAAGAGGTACCCTGGAATCGATGGCTAGCCTGATCCATTCTCCCCATGGTGGGATCAGGCCCATGTGGTGCAGGAGATCGCAGAGCCACCGCATAAATCAGCACAGGGGCCCCAGGCCTTGTTGGCGCGAGTGGGGTGACCATTTGTCGGATCTCATTGCGGATTAAGTCTGCGAGAGCACTATCGGGTGGTTGGGGTCCCGCTGCTTGGAGGTGGCGCAGCTCGTTCCGCACGACGCTTCTTATGAACTCAGTGAGGGCATGCCTCTCGCTGTCAGCCCCGATAAAGCATGCAGCAGGGGTCACGTCGTGGCGTTCATACTGTGACAACCTGTACTGGAGAGTACGCTCCATTGTGGTTGCCTCATTTATGAACTCTGCCACAGTCGTCGGTGGATTGCGCACGAGTCCGGCAAAGAGCTGCTCTTTTACCCCACGCTATAAATGCCGCACCTTCTTTTCCTCGGACATTGCAGGGTCAGCAGGCTTGAAGAGTCAAAGCATGTCCTCGACAAACATCGAAACTCTCTCGTTGGGTCGTTGGTTCCAAAACGAGATAGCCTGCTCTATCTACTCTCTGTTTTCTTTCAGTGCTGCGGTACGCATCACAAAACTGTCGGCTGAACTCATGCCACGTCGCAAAGGCACCCTCGTGATTCTCGTACCACGTTTTTGCAGAGTATTCTAACGCAAAGTAAACTCTCCGCAGCTTGCGAGCTTCATCCCATTTGTTGATGTTGGCAACTCGATTGAAGTGGTCAAGCCAGTCGTCAACATCTTCATAAATGTCTCCATGAAATGAGCGTGGTGTTTGCGGCGCATGAAAAACATGCGGGAGAAAAGAATAGGCTTCGTTAGTTTGACTCGCCTGGTTGTTAATTGAAGTTGCCATCTCGTCTTGAGAGAGAGGACCGTACTCGGGAGATAGTCCTCGCAGGCGGCAACTGCTTCTTGCCGTGGGAGCTGTAGCTGTCTCCAAGTAGCTCGGTGTGTCGGCTGAAAATCTGCAGCCGAGGCGAATTTACCCAGCACCTCCTGTGATGTTATGTTTGGGTCAGGATTCGCTCCAGAAAGAAGGATGCAGCACGCAAGTGGACAAACACACGTAGGACATCTTTACGCACGCGACAGGACTCAACGAATAGTAAAAGTTACATTTGACATAAGGGGTGCTACGCGATATAGTCAAGCAGTAGCGTACAGTTTTTTGTCGGAGCCGATGAGGTCGTCGAGCCGAAGACGTCATCCGTAGACCGTCTGTCCGATCCCGTAGCTCGGTTCTTGGTCTGGCCGCGTGAAGTCCCGGAGGTCCACTCCGCTGCAGTTGATGCCGGGACGCTGCACCCAAGGGACCCGCTCCACGGTGGACGCCCTCGGCCTGTGCGTGCTCGTGGGCCGAACCCTGAGTGTGCCCGTCTGCACACAGCGTCAAGGCCTTGGCCCGGCCTCGTGCACGTTCCCTGGCCCGACCTCCTCGTAGCGGAACAGGCGGGGTACCTGTCGATCTCCTCGTAGCCGAAAGTCCTAGATATGACGGACGGGGTACCTGTCGGGGACGGTGCGGGCGTTGAGGGCGCAATAATCTCCGCAAGGGCGCCAGCCATTGGTCTTCTTTGGTACCAGATGAAGCGGTTAGGCGTATGGTCCCTCCGAGCGGCGGGCAGTACCTTCGCGGAGCATGGCTTCGAATTCGGCCTGTGCGATTCATAGGCGGTCTGGGGCTAGCCGACGGGCGCGGCATGAGACCAGGGGCCGGGATTAGCACGAATGTAGTGCACGGTTGAGTGGCGCACCTCTCGCGGACGCCCGCTAGCTCGAGTCAGGTCGGGAAATTCTGCGAGAATATCATGGTATGGCAACTGGTTCCCAATGGTGAGTGCCTTGACGTTAGGCTGTAGGGTGGTCGCACATTGGCCCGGCGTGAAGAAACCTGTTGTAGCGTCAAAAAGTCGGTCATATCGGCAGTCAGGTAGAAGACTGTAGTAGGCTAAGAAGTCGGGCCCGATTATCGGCTCTGTGACGTCGGCGATGACGAAATTCCATAAAAAATCTCGACAGAGGTTTTTGAAGTTGCTGTTAAAGGGGAGCGAGCCGTAGGTCTTGATGCTCAAATGGTTCACCGCGCTGAGCTCAGAGGACGTGCGAGGACGTTTGTCACGCAGGAAGGTTCGGGGAAAGCAACATATGTCGGAGTCATAGTCGACGAGGAACCGCCGCTTTGTGACTTGGTCGGTGACAAATATGCGAGGACCTCTAAGTTGGCAGCTCGCGGCCGTCGCTACGGGCTGCCGTTGAAGTTTCCCTGACGTCCAGCTGAGCAAGGTGGTTGACATTTCCGGACTTTGTCCCCGAAGCGGCGATGCTAGTAGCAGGGGCGGTTAACATTTCCGTGCGATGAAGCGGCGTTGTTGTCTTGGCTTTGGTAGCGTTTTTGTGGACGCAGCTTTGGGCTTTGATCCAGGCGCCTTTGAATTGAGTCCAGCTGACGGGTGATTTTCTCGACACGGCGCGCGAGCTCGCTGCTGGACTGTCGGGTGTCAACGGCGTTGACGGTGAGAGGCGATGCTGGGAACGAAATCTCGACGACTTGATCAGCGATGTGAAAGAGCTGGTCTAGCGGAAGATTCGGCTGCACCTGGAGGATTGCCTGCGCATGTGAGGGTAGACGCTGAATCCAGATGATACGGAGGAGGAAGTCGTCGACCGGGGTGCTGCCCAAGAGGTCACGCGTGTAACGCAGCAGCTGCGATGGCCTGCAGTCCCCGAGTTCTTCGTGTTCGAATAGGCGACGCACCTTCTCGTCTTGTGAAGGTGAAAGCCGGCGGATCAGTTCCCTCTTCAGGTGTAGGTAGCGGTCATCAGCCGGGGGATTCGCAAGTATATCTCGAATCTCAGCCACACAGCGAGAGTCTAGATGGGCGACGACGTAGTCATACCACGTCCGGTCCTGGGTGATGCGTGCCGTGGAAAGAGTGCCTCGACTTGAGCAAACCATACGTCAGGCGCCTCTGCCAAAAATGGCGGAAGTTTGACGGCAATGCGACAAACGTCCGTGTTCGTGGCGGCCGCAGCAATCGAGGCACCCGAGGTGGCGGGGACCGCTGGAGCGAAGTTTTGGGGGGCGTGACCCAAGTGGGGTGGTGCACGGTTGTCGGACGAGAGTGCTTCATTTTCATTGCGCTGCTGCTGTTCCCGGAGCTGCAACTCGTGGTCCTGGATCACTTGCTGCTGGGCCTGCAGTTGTTGCAGTTGTACTTGTTGTTGAAGCGCAGCAAGGGTTTTCTTGTCGGCCATGGCGGTGCGGTACGTTCGTTTTCCGAGTCACCAGATGTGGGATAACATAACCTAATGTTTTCGCACTGAAGGTTCTACAACGACTGCCCCAAATGTCTTGATGCGGGCTCGTCGTGGCATGCAAGGAGGATCTCATCACGCATGTCGGTAGGAAGAACGAGTAGGAAGGCTTTGTCGCTACCACGGTCGTTTTTCTTGTAAAGAATTTCTCTTCTTAGACAAAAAGAGGACAGTTCGCGAGCAATATGTTGAGTAACCTGTGAGTTCCGGCCTTCCAGGGAATCAATAGCTGGATGTAACTCCTCGTCTGCCCGCTGTTTTAACATAAATTCTGAATCACTAACTGCTCCGAGAAAGGCATGTTCGTCCTCGAAGCCCCTGACAGCGTGCTCCACAGGCACTTGAGAAAGCGCGTGGGCATCTTCGTGTTTGCGCCCTGACCTGTACACAGTCGTAATGTTGAACTCCTGCAAACGCAAACTCCACCGAGTGAGATGGCCGGATGAATCTCTGAGATTTGCCAGCCAGCAGAGCGAGTGGTGGTCAGAAACCACTTTGAAGGGACGACCGTAGAGGTAAGGCCGACATGTGGTCGTCGCCCACATGACTGCGAGGCATTCTTTTTCTGATGTGGAATAGTTGGTCTCGGCTTGAAAAAGAGTAACTGGCGTAAGCTATCACATGCTCAATGCTGCTGTGTACAATGACAGTGCCAAGTCCGACGTTGCTGACATCTGTATTAATTTATGTAGCAGCAACCTCATGAAAAGGGGCAAGAACGGTGGCTGTTTGCATTCTCTGTCGTAGCACTGTAAACGCTGTATCTTGTTCTGCGCCCCAAGTAAAGGGCACGTCACCTCGGGTGAGTCACGTAAGAGGTTCAGCTATCTTCGAGAAGTTAGCAATAAATCGGCGATAATACGCGCACAAGCCGAGAAAACGATGTACTGCACTTTTATCTGATGGAACAGGGAACGCGGAGAAAGCAGCAGTTTTGTCTGAATCAGGTCGCACTCCTTCCGCACTAATGAGATGTCAAATTTCAGCTCTTCATAGCCGAAATGGCATTTTTTGGGTTTCAGTGTGAGTTCAGCTGTGCGAATGGCTTCCAGAACCTTTCTCAGGCGCTTCAGATGTTCTTGGAAGCTCTCTGAAAAGATGACCACATCATCGAAGTAGACAAGGCAGCTTTGCCACTTCAAGCCAGCGAGAACTGTGTCCATCATCCTCTGAAAAGTGGCTGGGCAGAACAGAGGTCGAAGAGAAGAACTCGGAATTGTAAAGTCCATCTGGAGTCACAAACGCGGTTTTTTCTCGGTCTCGTTCATTCACTTCGATTTGCCAATAGCCAATCTTTAGATCGAAGGACGAAAAATACTTCGCCCGTCGTAACCTGTCGAGAGAGTCGTCGACCCGTGGAAGTGGGCGGACGTCCTTTTTTGTGACGCTATTAAGCTTCCTGTAGTCAATACAGAATCGCAGCGTTCCGTCTTTTTTTTTCGCTAGACCGACCGGCGAGGACCAAGTGCTGCTGAATGGTTGCATAATCCCGTCATCTAGCACCTCTTTTACTTGTGCCCGAATAGCCTCGCGTTCTCTGGCAGAAACACGATAAGGTTGCTGCCGAATGGGGCGGACGTCATAGTCGGTACTAATTTGACGCTTCGTGAGGTGTGTTTGACAGATTTTGGAAGAAGAGGCGAAGGAAGATCGAAACTATCTTAAAAGGTCATGAAGTGCAGCCTTTCTCTCGTCTGACAGCGTCGAATTAATGTCGACGTGGTCTAGAAATTTCTGATCCTCATAGGTTTCCTCGGACGCGAAGCACTCCGTGATGTAGGCAACAGGGTCTCCATAGGCTAGGGTGGTTCCGTGGAAAAGATGCTGGTGCTCGTAGTTGAAGTTCGTACCTAATATCTGTGACTGTCCGTCACGGACACGCGCAACACTTCGGGCGGCGCATACACCTTGGAGTAGCAGAAGTGATAGGTTGCGTTCAGCCACCACGTCACCGTCTCGGAGGTCTTCACAAGTGATTTCGATGAGAACAGTCGCTCGAGGTGGCAGCGTCCCACTGTCGTCAGCAACACGCATCACAGGTCTACGGCAGTTATCAGCGTCTCGATATGTTGCGCCTTGAGTCGAGAAGGTCACGATGCGCTCACGGAGATTTATGATCGCATCGTATTCCCGAAGAAAGTCAATGCCGATAATCAGCTGACGCGAACAGTCGCGAAGAATGAGGCAGCAAAGCACAAAGGTTGACGCGCGAATTTTCAGTTTTGCGGTACAGCGACCCAGCGGTGTTACAACGTGTTCTCCTGTGGTTCAAATTTGCGGTCCATTCCATGGCGTAATCATTTTCCTGAAATCTTTCGCTAGCCTCCCGCGGATAATCGAATAGTCTGCACCAGTGTGTACCATTGCACTGACCTGAAAACCGCCAATCAGCACAGGTATGTCGAGTGGCACGTGGTCACTGAATTCAGATGTGGATGTCAGCGTTTCTTCGGTACTGCTATTATTTTCTGACGAAATGCCTTCGGCGTTGTCTGCAAGCATCGATGGGAGGTCTTCCGCACTTTGAGTCCCAGCGACGTTGCCCCCGAAGGCCGCTGCCTTCAGTTTTCCCGACGAGGGCTCGGGGAGCGTTCCCGTGCCGTCACCTCGAAACATGGCCCAGTGGCTGCGGGTGTCCTCAGAAATGGTGACCACGATATCCATCATATGAAGGGTACGCGCTGTTGCATGAGATACCCTTCGATATCCCTTGGCCTTTACCTATTTGGAGACAAGGGGAATTGACAGAAAATCTGCGCATTCCAAGTTGCCGGTATGGGAATTCGTGGCAAATGTGACCAGCCTCACCGCAATGATAGCAGAAGGGTCGTCTGTCTGGCGTACGCCAGAAATCAGACTTGCGCGTCGGTGCACGGCGACCCTCGATGTCTAAACCAGCGAGCGCTGACGGAATTGCGACTGACGGCATAATTGTCTAGATCAGGACGCGTGACACTGCCTAGATCGGAACGTGCGGCACTGGCTGGATCGGGACGTGTGGCACTGTCTGGGTCGGGACTCCTTAACCAGAAAGAGGAGTGGCAGATCGCAAGGCTTCCGCGTACGTACGACAGCGACTGTCAGTAGACACAAGAGCCATTTCCGGATCAACCGACATCAGCTGAAAACGATGGGCGTGCAGCACCTGCTGGACCTCCTCACGGATGAGACCGGTGATAGAACCGACATCCATTTGCCTTGTCCTGTACATCTATTCCATTTTTTCCCGGACAACAGAGTAGTAGACCTCGCGAATTCATTCGGAGCTCTTGCTCCCAGGGGTGGCAAAAGTTTCGGGAGTTGAGGCAGCATTCACTTGACGGTCAAAAAAGGCAGATGGTTGGTGCAGTACTCGCTCCGTCGTTGCCGCTTCAGTAAGGAACTTACCTACGCTCTTGGGAAGACTACACAGCAAACCAGAATGCTAAACATGCAATTAGAATGATAAACATGCAATTACTCGCCCCATTTTCGGACAGAAAGCCTAGGACTTGGATGTGCATTTCTAAAGATCCAAGTGGATCTTAGTTTACTAGAGCTTCGGCAATTTCACCAATTCCTTAACTGATTATGCTGTTTAGTCCGGTTATGAAGCAACGTGTTCACTGATGTATGACGTAGAACCTGCACTAGCTCGAGCTGCGAAGAAATATGTGTCATGCATAATGCACCTAAGTCATGCACCGACTGATGACTCATTCACTGAATTTAGGAATGAAAACCTTGCGTTTTGTGCTGAATATTAGATTTCAGTACCTTTGCTCGGCGCTCAGGCGTCGCTTGACATCTGTATTGTATACAGCAAGTTTGCCCATTATAATGTTTTAATAGAAAAAAAATTGCAAAACTAAAATATTTTTTCTTCCCTTAAAAAACATAAAAATTATTAAACTCGGAAAACTTGAACGGTTCTCTCTAAACGGGATGGTACCCGTCTGAGTACTCCTGAACGTTTGATGTTTATATGATTGTGTGCAAC